GAGCAGAGCCCAGTGTGGAGTCGCTGGAGGAGCTCAGCGTGGTCCACACCATGATGGTCGCAGCCGTTGACTCGCTGGTCGGCGGCCTCGACGCCCTCCGCGTGCTCCACACCGCCACCGAGGCTCACGTCGAGGAGAACCGCTTCGCCAACCCTCCTTCAGAGCTCGTGTTTGGGCGCCCAGCACAGGCGGCGCTTGGGGTCGAGTATTACATGTGCGTTCCCAGAGAGGTCGTGCTGCAGGGGCTGATAGAAGGCACCTCCGCCATCGTGCGGGAGGTGAACACCGCCGGCACCGACGACGACCGCGAGTGCCTCAGCTACGTCTTGCACGCCGAGGCGGGCTCGAGCGATCTCACCTATCAGGGAGGACTGAAGCGCGACTGCGACGAGCGCGGCAGGGTGCTGGCGTGTCGCACTGTGGCCGACGGCAGCGGCGTGGTGCGCGGCATGCGGCTGGCGGACTTTGTGTCCCACCCGAGCGCGCAGCTGGCCAACCTGACGGAGGCGCACGTCGTCGCTCTCCGCCTCTACACGACGCAGGCGCTCTCCTCCTCCCTGCTCTCAGCCTGCCCACTCCCACTCTAAGCTCTCGCCCTCTCGCCGAATTCAGGCCTACAAGAGCATCAACAACCCCCTGCGCGACAGAGAGCGCTTCGTGCGCGGCGAGGCGCACGGGCTGCCGGTGACGGTAACGCTGCTCCGCGACGCGCTCGGCAAGCTGCGGGCGGTCGAGGCCGACCACTCGCGCGACTCGGCGATTCGCCGCGTCGAGCTGTACCGCGGCATGAGGGACGTCACTGCGCCGGCCAGCTTCATGGAGCAGGGCGGGACCGAGCTGGCTCCGATGTCGACCACGTCAAATCTCAGCGTCGCGATGAAGTACTCGGCGAGCGTCAAGGCGGTGCTGCTGCGGCTCATCACCGAGTCCTTCTACGAGAGAGGGCCGGACATCTCCTTCCTCTCCGCCTTCCCCGGCGAGGCGGAGTTCCTCTTCCCGCCGCTGACGTACCTGCAGCCGACCGGCGACGTCGAGACGGTGGTGTTTGAGGGGCTCGCATACGAGGTGGTGGATGTGCGGCCGCGGATCTGAGAGGCACTTTTTGGCGTGGCGTGCCGCAGCGAGAATTGCGCGGAGAGTGAGCTCGATTGCTTGCTGTACGGAGGCGCGTGTGAGCGCGAGTTCCGCAAGATTTTGGACTGCCAGACGACTTCATTATTGTCGGCAGAATGAACGGGTGTGGGGAGGGATGTCTGTGCGCCGGAGAGCGATGCGTCATATGTGTGTGTCCGGGGTGTGAGCGCTTGCGTTAATGAAGAGCTCATTAAAAAAGAAATTCGCGGATTTCGCGCCTTTCCAATACCGGTAACACGCTTCTTCCAGCATGTCGACCGACGCCCTCCCGCCCGCCACCGAGAACCTCCCGCCCGCCACCGAGAACGAGGCCCCCGGCACGGCTGTCAAGGCTCCGCCGCCCAAGCCGGACGCCGCTCCTCCCAGCGTCGGCCCAAAGACCGGCGGCAAGGCGGCCGCTCCCAAGAAGCTCATCTCCAAGTGCGGCGAGCGGATGCATCTCGCCGAGCAGGCGCGCAGCTGCCCTCGTCGCGCCCATCGCCGCCGCAAACTTCTCGCAGCTGCCACCGCCATCCGCGCCATCCGCTCCGCCCTCGCCACCGCCGCCCTGAGAGAGAGAGAGAGAGAGAGAGAGAGAGAGAGAGAGAGAGAGAGAGAGAGAGAGAGAGAGAGAGAGATTTTGTTGCCCTCGGCGCTCTGATTCGACTTTTAACTTCAAACAAAGACAGTGGCACGCGCTGCAGCGCGGTGCGTGCCACTGTCAGGAGCGGATCCATCAGTTAGTCATGTTCACGCCGCGATCGTGTCCCTCACAACCTGCAGAAAGGGTAAGGTGTGAAAACCACAAACCAGGTTACGCGGCGGGCATCTGTCTGCCTTCTGCTGTCTGAACCAAGGGAGGAGCATTAGGGCAACGCCTTACCAAATGGCGCAGCGTCCCGGCGTGCCCAAGCCCTCCATGGCCTACCTCGCGTCGAAGAAGGCGGCGGCCAAGCCCCGCGCGCCGCTGCCTGCGAACTCCGCCGACGCGCCCGGCTCCGCCACCGACCGCTGCTTCGCCAACCTTTGCTGCCAAGAGGTCCGCTCGCGTGACGACGTGAGCACGTGGATGCTGTCGAACAACGCGGACGCGGAGCCTTCGCTCCTGCAGCGCGTGTGCCTCCTGCAGTGCGGGCCGGAGGCACGCACGCCCTCGACGATCATCAAGGTGCCGGAGCTCGCGGGTCTCGCCGGCATCACCGTCCAATCTGACACGGGCCAGGGGAGCACCGGCTCGCTGCAGACGCTCAAGTGGGCCATCTACGACGAGGAGACCAGGGTGGCGCGCATGCAGGTCTTTGGCGGCTGGGGCGGGCACGCGTCGGTGGGCTGGTGGACCGAGCCGGCGGACGAGCGGCAGTGGAACTGTCTTATCAACGTGCCGTACCACAACTCCGTGCACGCCTAGCTGTGAACGGCGTCTCTTCACACCTCTAGCTGTGAACAGGTGGCGCGGCTGTGCAACTACACGTACGAGTTCCGCTTCTCGACCGACTATCGGCACGCCGACATCTACATACAGGGCAACCTGACGGGCGGCTGCTTCCCGCTGATCCCCGGCCTTCCGTGCGTGCCGGCGTGGTTCACCATCCCATCCTGCTGCATCCACTTTGAGATGGAGCAGACGGACTTTGCCGGGCCGGGCCAGGCGCTCGACGGCAAGAACTGGATCCGCAAGTCGTACTGCTGCGGCAAGGCCTTCCAGGTCAACGAGTACGAGCTGGCGCAGGTCTACGACAGCGATGGAAACAAGAACGACGAGTACTTTGACCGCATCGAGCAGGCGCCCATGGCGCTGCTCATCTCGCGCTGAGCGGTGAGCGCTCAAGCCGAGGCAGGTGCGAGGTGCCATGCAGAGTGGCGCGAGCCGGTGTGTGGCGCTGTATATCCTCATTCTCCCAGTATCTCCCGGTCTCCCGCCGTATGCCCCGTATCCCGCGGTAGCTGCTACGTGCTAGCTCCCAACTCGCATGGCGGGGTGCGTATTGCGCGGTGCGCGTGTCGTTGACGCGAAGCGGCAAGCGCCGCACTGTCCACTGACGACGAAGGCCTAAATATAAAATAATACTCGAGTTGTACGCAGAAAAATCTAAAAAGTCTCACCAAAAAATGCACAACGCCACACAACGTACGCGTTTCATGCCGACCTCAAGTGCGATGTGGGCGCGCCGCATGCCGTAGGCATGCTGGTGGAGTCACACACACACAGTCGACAGGGCGAGGGACCATGCTAGATGGCACAACAATGCGAGGAGAGACCGTAACTGTGCCCGGTGGCCGCAGACAGGCGCGCCGTGCGGCGCGGCGGGCGGCCGTCGGTACTAGGGAGCTCCGCCGAGGTCATCATGCCCGGTCATCATGCCCGGCACACGCCAGCCCGCGTCCAGCCCCGGGCCGCCTTTGACCGCCTCGAGACCTCGAGAGGAGTCCGCCACCAAGTCCGCCGCCGCCGAGTCTGCCACCGAGAAGGCCGCCACCGAGGAGGCGACCACCGAGGAGGCCGCCTCCAAGTCCGCCGCCGCCGAGGAGTCGTCCGCTACGGAGGCACCCGGGCACGCAGCGGCGGGAAGCCGGCGGCGGGCGGTGGGCCGCGAGAGTGCTCGCCTGTTGGGGGGCGGGGGAAGGCCAGGCGTTGAGTCCTCGTCTGCAGGCGCTGGTGTAGGGGAAGGGCCAGGCTACTCCCTCGCGAGCCCTCGTCAAGCAGCTGGCGCGGCGTTGGAAGTGCAAGGCGCACGCGTGGGTGAGCGGCGTGTGCGTGTGTGTGTGTGTGTGCGAGTGAGTGTGTGTGTGTGTGTGTGTGTGTGTGTGTGTGCGCGCGCGCGCGAGCGAGTGTGTGAGTGTGAGTGAGTGTGAGTGAGTGTGTGTGCGAGGGAGTGTGTGTGAGAGGGAGTGTGGGGGCGTGCGCGCGCGTGTGCACCCACCGCGAGGGCCATGCGGCGGCGGGCGCGGCGGCGGCTTGCTCGGCGGCGACAGGGCGGCGGCAGACTCGGCGGCCGGGGCGGTCGAGGCGTCCGAGACGGCAGTGTTGTCCGAGGCTGAAGCGGAAGAGGAGGAGGCGGTGGCGGCGAGGCAAGGCGGAGCAGGCGGCGGATACAGAGGCGGAGGCGGAGGCGGAGTAGAGGGGAGTGGTTCGGAGGCGGAGGCGGCGAGGGAGGCGAGGGAGGCGGAGGAGGAGGAGGAGAGGGGAGGTAGGGGTCAGGCGGCGTGGGAGGCGGAGGAGGAGGAGTACGAGGGTGCGGGCCATGTGCCTCTACGCCTCGTGTGCAACGCGCCGTGTGTGTGCTCCTCGAGTGCGTGTGCCCCGTCGTCCGTGCTAGGACGTGTCTCGCGCACTGACACTGGACTGACCTCTGGCAGTGAGCACTCCGCAACCACTTCGCCGTCCGAGATTGCCCAGGCGGTGCGCCTGTCCGCAGACCAGCGCACACCGCCGCCGACCGGGTCGCCCGCCTCGAAGCGCGACACCTCCGACTCGCCGTCCGCAAAGGTGTACAGCCCTACGGGTTCACACACCAACCGACGCCACTGAGAGGACGCCTCAAACGACGCACACACTCTCGGCGACGGCGCGGCGTTTCGGGGTGGGTTGTCGGCAGCGCTGGCAGCGGCGGCGGCGGCGGCGGCAGCGTTGGCGGCGGCAGCGTTGGCAGCGGCGGCGGCGACGGGGGCGGGGCGGCGACGGCGGCGGCGTCGGTGGGTCGAGGTGGGCTCTTGCCGGCGCACCTTCGCCGTATGGTTCGTCGTCGCGCACCGGACCGATGTACACCTCGCCGCTGGCGGTCGAGTAGGTGCCTCGGCCCTCCTTGATACCATTGCGCCAGGTGCCGTCGTACACGTCGCCGCACGCGTACTCCTCACGTCCCAATCCCTCCCGCTCATTCCGAACCCAGTCCCCAGCGTAGACGTCGCCGTTCGCCGCTCGCAGCGTGCCCCGGCCGTGCCTGAGGCCGGCGCGGAAGTAACCCTCGTATACATCGCCGTTGCTGTAGCGGTGCACTCGATAGCCCTCCATGACGCCGCGGCAAAGCGCGCAGAGAGAGTGTCCCCCGGCCGCTTGTTGGTCTTGAAGAGTGATGCAGTTCCTCGAGGGCATCGAGCGCCTCTATTCATACCCGTAACTGTAACAGCTCCGCACCAGGGCCAGCTCATCAGCCCTCGACCGGTTTGGGGGCGATGCCGAAATGAACTCGGGACGTTGGGGTCGAGCCTACATCCCAATCAACAATCAGAAAAACACAATGAGGGTTGTGGTCGTCTTGTCTTGTGGTTCTCTCTCTCTCTTTTGTTTTGTTCTTTCTGTGTGTCGCTCCTGTGTGAGGGGTGTGACCGTCAATGCCCGTCCCGCGTCCACCCATACAACAAGAGAGTACTAATAGTGTAGAGGTCTTTCCGTCATAGTACACATGCATGGTGTGTATGTGTACAAAACCCCACCCACAGCGCGCGTTTCACGCCGTCTGCACACACGCCCTCGCTCACCCGCTGCTGAATCACCCGGTCGTTGGTCGGTCATCAAGGCGTGGCGTAAAAGAAAGAAAGAAAGAAAACAGACAACCCAAGGGAGGGATGGGAGGACGGCACGCCGCCACCACACAGGGATTTTAAGGAGAGGAGTGTGATGCGCTAGCCGTCGCCCACCCTAGGGAGTCTGCCTCTTCCTATCTCTTTTCGCAGTCTCTCGCCGATTCTCGCTGCAACCTTCATGCCACCTCGCGGCCGTCCCACTCTCGTCGTTCTCTCCCTTGTCACTTCCTCCTCTGTCGCGTCATTCTCTTCTGCCTCGTCCTGCGCCGCCGCCGCCTGCCGTTCCCTTGTTCTCTCGGCTTCTTTCGCCTTTCGGCGCAGCTCCGCCCTCCTTGCTGCATATCCTGGCCCCTCGAGTCTATCGAGCTCCCCTCGCGCAAGGACCACATTTCTGACTCCCACTCCGATCATTTGCCTCCAGGTCATGTTGTTGCTCAGGTCCACTCTCTCTTCGAACACTCGTGCCTCTACGGATGATGCCGGCGCTGGGGTCCCCTTCGGATGCATCGTGACATCTGACAACTGAATTTCCACTGGTTCGTCCTCCTCGGAGTCATCTTCCCCGTCCTCCTTCCGTTCGGCTCTTCGCTCGGTACGTTCGGTGTGGCTCACCCTCCATGCCGTGAACAGGCGCTTTATCCACCCTATATTCTTCTCTCGTTCCTCTGCCCGTGCCTTGGTCTTGTCGTTGTTTCGCACCCATGTCTGTATGGCAATCGAGGCTGCCTTCCCCACTACCTGTAGTTCACTCGTCACCTCTCCCGCGAGCTCCCTTCTCTTTCTTTCGGGTATGGAGTCCGTGAGTGCGGGTAGCGTGCAGGCAATCACGGGCGCTATTTTGTCGTACTCCTCTTCGGCGAGCGCTCCAAATCTAGACCCTTTCGCCTTTAAGGAGGCTGCCCTCGCTCGTCTCAGGAATGTGGCGGTGTCTTTTGAGTCCGGCGCCTCCCGTTCAACTCTTGCTGTCGCCCTCGCTGTGTGTTTGTCGAGCTTCCGCATGAAGTGACGCGCCTCTTCCTTATTTCCAGCGCAGCTGCCGTGAGCCGTAACAGCGGGTCGCGCGTTTTCTCAAAAGCCCAGCTGAAGCCGCCGCCAAGGCTGGCCAACCTCGTCCTTTGTATCGGCCTGTGTCGGCCAAGCGCCTTGCATGTGTGTGCCTGAGGGCTTGGGGCGCTCGACGCAAACACTACCCATGCCTCGAGCGGACGGCGATCCGTCACCTCCACACGCTCGCGTTGACTGGCTCCTTGCGCTGCAGGACGGCGACGTTGCTTCGTGGGACATCTACAATGGAGCTAGAAAGTGGACGGTAGCCATCGCTGGAGGCCACGCGACTCTGCCCGAGGGTATGGAGGTTTTGCCAGACAAGGCCTTCTTTGGCCGCACCTCCGTCGTCTCCATCACGTGCCCGAGCAGCCTCAGGTCGATCGGCGAGCAGTGCTTCAGCGGCTGCACCTCCCTCGCCGCCGTCGTGCTGCCCGCGGGCCTCTCCTCGCTCGGCGACGGGTGCTTTCGAAACTGCGCGTCGCTCACCTCCGTCACCGTCCCCGCCGGCCTCGCGACGTTGGGTGTCCAGGCCTTTGACGGCTGCTGGTCGCTCACTTCCATCCGTCTGCCGCCCGGCCTCAAGTCCATCGGGCGCTGGACGTTTGCCGGTGGGCATACGCGCCGCCAAAGCTCGCACGGCGGCGGCACATCTCTGGCCACCCGGGCTGCACCTCGCTGCGCCCCCTCTCCGCGACGCACCCAGTCATTCTCATCCACGCCCCTCCCACCACGCAGACTGCACCCCGCTCGCCCGCTCACCGTGACGCACACCCAGTCGTTCAGCCATCGACGCCTTCAGCCATCCACGCCCCCTCCCACCCCTCCCAGGCTGCACCTCGCTCGCCCACGCCACCCTGCCCGACCACCTCGAGAAGCTCGGCGAGTACGCGTTTGCGGGCTCCTCCCTCGCCACTGTCGCCCTGCCCGCCAGCCTCGCCTCGGTCGGGGAGGGTGCCTTCTTCCGCTGCTCCGCCCTCACCTCCATCGCCCTCCCCGCCGGGGTCACCTCGATCGGCTGCGGAGCCTAGAAGCGGAACGCGTCACACTTCTCTTCAGACGGGGGGAGGGCACGCAGTGCTCCGAGGACACGGCACCGTACCGTGTTCACGCCCTGGCGTTTGCGTATTCACACAACCGCACACCCCCGGGCCCGACATCGCATGACAACACAGTGACAGTCAGACACGCAACACCGGCGTGTTCACACTCTAGGCTACGGAGCCTTCACCAGCTGCTGCTCGCTCACGCGAGTCAGCCTCCCCGCCAGCCTCACCTCGCTCAGCTCCTGCGCCTTCAAGGGCTGCACCGCCCTCGCACGAGTCACCTTTCCCGACGACGTCGCCGCGCCGACCCCTCGCTCCGCCTTCTACATCGAGGAGCGGCATCCCCTCCAAGACGCACCCCGCCACGTACCTGCCCTTCTCCTCACCATCGACACGTCCCCGCACCTGCCCTTCTCCTCACCATCGACACGTACTTGGCCCTCTCCTCGAGGAGTGGCACACCCCTCCGAGACGCCATCCGCGACGACCCCACCTGTGCGCACCCCCGCCGGCGCAGGACTTTTCCTTCAAGGGGTGCACTGCCCTCGCCGACGTCGACTTCCCCGCAGACCTCTCCTACATCGGCTACGACGCCTTCTATAACTGCGCGTCGCTCGGATCGGTCACGGTGCCAGCCTCCGCTCAGATCGAGGAGTGGCATGGCAACGCCCTCGCCTTCCACCCGAGCACGACCGTCGTCCGCCTCCCTGCCGCGCGGATGCGCGCTCGGCGACGGCTCTCCCTCCTAGATGCCCGGGGTCCGCCCTTGTCCCACGCGACGCGCCGAGTACACAGCACGGCACCGCCCTCCCGCCCTCACTTCGCTGTGTCCGCTCACTAGGCTCACCTTCCTCTTGGAGGCGGTCCTCAGCTACCGGCGCGCCCGCCCCTTGCTCTTTGGCTGGCTGGAGAGAGTGCAGGTCCGGATCGGCTCTTACGGCCCGGACGGAGCGGCGCGCAAGCGCGACCGCGAGGAGTTTGAGGGCGACTTCGGGGGGATTTGAGAGGATCTAGTGTGTGTTGGTAGTTGAGGAGAGCGCTAAGATTGCAGGTCCGGATCGGCTCTTACGGATCGGCTCTTACGGCCCGGACGGAGGTCGGAGCGGGGCGCGCAAGCGCGACCGCGAGGAGTTTGAGGGCGACTTCGGGGAGGGATTTGAGAGGATCTAGTGTGTGTTGGTAGTTGAGGAGGGCGCTTGAGCCTTGATTGAGCGCGGTTCTGTGCAGTGCGGTGAGCGTGAGGAGGGGTGTGGCGAGCTGGCGAGTGTTCAGTGTAACCGGTTCCTGTGCGCTCTGTGGCGCTTTTTGAGAAATTTGTATAGACTCGTGACTTTAAAGGTAAGAGGTCTGAACTGAGCGACAGGCGGCCGTCTGATAGGGCTGCCACGTACTGAACAAAACAGCTGCGGCCTCACCTCACCGGACTGGCTCGCTGAAGATCACTGCGTGGCGCTCGTGCAGCGAAAGTGACCGCCCGCGCATGAAGTCGCTCCAGTTCCGAGCGACCTCCGCTTCGGTGTCCGAGCAGGACGACAAGCGGTCCAGCGATGCGACGCGAGGGTCCGATTGCAACGCGGAGATGGCATGCCAGGCGGCGGATCCGGGTGCCATGGCCAGGCGGCGCCTCGCGCTCGGCACACTGTCACAGGTGCCGAGGGAGTCGGCGTCGACGGGCTTCGAGCCGAGCCGCAGCCCGGCGCGCTCATCGAGCTCGACCGTGAATGGAGTGAGGTCCTCGCGCAGCATATTTGTGAGATTCTCATCCTTTGGCGAGGCACTCACCTCCGTCCCGGCAAAGGAGCCAGCGCAGAAGGCGTCGCGGCGAGACAGCTGCGCGCGAAGACGCATCTGCCTGAGCGCTTGTGGAGACATGATGAGGGCGCTCGTGTTGATGCGGTTTAGCAGTGTCACTTTCAGAGCCATGCCACCGACCGGAAAACGACTTGCAGCGTCGGGCAACGCTGTCGGTGCCCTTGACAAGGGACGTGTCAGGATCGCCATCAGCGTCTCGCTTTCATGTTTTCTTTTTATTGGCACTAGAAAGAAAAGGTGTGTTTTAGGGATGGTATTTTTTTCAGGTGTGAAGTTTGCATGCGATGGCCCGGCCACCGATGACGCGGCAAGCGCGGTGCACAAATGCTGAGGTACAATGCTGACACTAGTCGGAGGGGCACTGCCACCCGCCTCGGCAGACCGGAGCTGCTGCAGTCTTTCGCGCTGTGCTCGCACGCTTTGGATGCTCACCTGCGGGTTTGAGCTTGTTTTCGTCAGAGCAGACGGCCCAGGTCGCGTGCCTCAGCGTGCCCCCTGTGGCGTGTGTGTGTCTTGCTGTGCACGCACGTTCGCACTCTTCTACTCTTCGTTTACACATGCACACAATACCAATAACGCGCCGCCGAGTTTTCTAACATAATAGTATGAAAGGGAGGTTTACATATAGGAATCTGACGTTAGAGACGACTCTCCCTGTCCCAACTGTGAACAGTCGTTATCTCTATATGCGCAGCTATTCATAGCCGCGCCTGTTGTTTGTGTGTGTATCCGCGCTCTTGGCGCGATTACGAGACTGACTAGTGTGTTGCACTAGTTGTACTTTTCGTAACAGTATTCCGCATCCTTCCGCATTCATTGCGAGGGCGGACCACTCCTAGCGTGCAGACCGCGGGAGCTGGTGCCGCGGCCAGTGTAGACCTGGCCTGCGCTGTGACGCGCGCGCTCATCTTCAACGTCTGACCTGAATACACGACTTGCATGCGGCGAATGCCATGCGGCGATTGGCAGGGTATCACCCAGTTTCCGAGTTTCGGGTTGCACCGCCGTTGAACCGTCTCAACGTCAGCACGTCGGGCAGCGGCATCAATGTGCTTCGGCGGAACATGTACACAGTTTCAGACATTGTCAACCACAATGGAGGCGAGTGGTTGTCGCGCACCATTCGGATCCTGGGTGACCCACAGACATACGGCCGCTCACTGGTGTATGAATGGATTCTTCGCACGTGCCACGATGGCAGCGAAGTGCCTCTCGGCAACACGACCAGGCAGGGCGAGACGCCGTGGTTCGTTCGCCCCCAAGGCCCGTGGGTGTGCAGCCGTGTCGGCGGCGACTGCACTCTGGGTGCGATCGTGCCAAATACATCCTCGATGCGGCCGGCGTTGGATGGTGAGATCCTTCCTGACGTTACCGTGCTCTTTCATGCGCTGAACCGAACCGAACCGTTCTTGCAGCCGCGGGTGGTCTGCCGTATGGATCGCTGCGACCGGTTGCGCATCTTTGCAGAGGTGGTGCAGCAGTCTCTCTCGACAGGCAGGTGCTCACCGGCGCCCGCGGGGACCACATCGATTCACCTGCGCCTTGGCGACAAGAACGACATCTTTGCGCCCGTCGGCGGTCCCTACTTTGCCCCGAAGGTTCCACTCCTCCAGCAGGCTGTGGCCCTGGGCGGGTGCACCCGCACCAACGTCACGGTGCATGCGGTGATACACTACCTCGGGAATCTAGACGAGTTTCGGAACGACCTCAGGTGGGATGCGTACGTCGCCCAGCATCTCGCAGCGCTTCGCCGGTGTGGCGTCAACCACCACCTTCGCAGCGTGCCGGATGTCGACGCCGACGTGTGCTTCATGGCCACGGCGGACTACTACGTCCCCAGCGCTGGCGGCTTCTCATGGCTCATGCGCGACGTGCGCGCTGCGCTGCGTAGTTTAGGGCGCGACGAGGTTACCTCGTGCGCACGTCGGGGTGTCATGAATACAGCCCTGTCCGCGACGGCTCACCGTCCGGCCAATGTCACGGCCGGCTCGTGTGCTGACAGGCTCGCCAAGTGTGCGCAAGAGCAGGGCCGGCGTCCAGATCGACGTTACCCGGGGCCATTGTGGCAGCTCAAAGACCTATCAGGCTACCCAAGTGCCCGCGGAAACCAGCCATCCGTCGCGTACAATGATGTGGAGATGCTCATTGCTTTGGGGAGATCCAAGTCGGCAAGTGCTGGGCATCGCTCACCGCACAACAATTTTGCGACAAGCTCGACAGGCTCCAGTGGTCCCTCCAGTCAGTTCGATGGGGAGAGAGCCAATCAGCATGCCAATCAGCATTTTATTGGCACTAGAAAGAAAAGGTTCTTCTCCGCGTTGGTTGCGGTCTCGCTGGCTCCTCAGGGCCTCAGCAAGTCTGTCCCCGCTAAGCCCCGTCGTGAGTGCTTCACCGAAGCTGCCGCCCGTGCCTCTGCCACCTGCCACCTGGCTGAACCGCTACCGCTGCTCGAGAGGTGTCAAGGCTGCGGATCAGGCGCCCGTGGTGACTCGACAGCGACAGCACAACACCACATTACCTGCTACGGTCAACCACGATGCAGGAAGAGTCAGACACCCAAGGGTGGGCGACGGCTAGCACCACACTCCTCTGTGTTTTAGGTATGGTATTACTCCTCTGTCTGTGCAGGTATGTTGTTGATGATGTTGTTGAGAGGTGGCGGCGTGCCGTCCTCCCATCCCTCCCTTGACGAGTCTATTCTTTCTTTCTTTTCGCAGTGCGCGCCAGTCCCGTGCCCAAAAAGAACAAAAACAAAAAAGAAAGAAAACGGACAATTCAAACGAGGGATGGGGGAGGAGGACAGGGTCCCCACCTGCACGAGCAGGATTTTGGAAGGCCGATCAGCGGGTGTCGCGTTCTTCAATTCACAACACTTTCACAAACGTGCGTCCTCGGGACACGTCGTGCGTCCGCCCGCCGCAAAGCATGATGCTGCTCCCCCTCGGCGCCCTATTCGTCGCCTGCAAGATCCTCTGCGAAACCAAGGGGCGCATGGAGGTTAAGAAGGCACCACCGACGAAGAAGTTTGCGCCACTGACCACCAAGGACGACGAGGGCGTGACCCCGACGGAGCCGGTCTCGCCAAAGTCTGTTTCTCGCTCCTCGCTGCCTAGCCCGAGTAGGTTCGGGGGGCTCTAGGTAGGGAGTGGGTTCGATCGGGGCCTTGGCGAGCGGGTACCAAGACTGGGGAGAGGTATCGCATTGGGCGCGCAAGAAGCCATGCATTTGTCGAGAGAGTTCTTGGAGAGACGTGAGCAACTGTCGCGCGCCCGACCAGCTCCGGGTGTGTATGTATGTGGCGGGCGGGTTGTTGCACGAGTATATGGGCCACGATGTCTCAAATATGAGGGGTTTTGACTCCTACCGGCTCCTGACGCTATCCCTGGCAGCTCTAATGGCCAGGGTCAGTAGTGTTGTGATAGATGGTGCCCATACTAGCGCAGGAGCTGCCACACTCGCCCGGACCGTCCCCTTCTGGGGCCGGTTCCGCAGCCCGCGAGAGCCGACAGCGGGGCCGTGCCGCAGGTGCCTACTGCCGAGAGCCACAAACACTGCGCCGTCCCGCCATCACCTACAGGCTGTCTTGTGGGATGGTTGGGATGTCCAAACGCCACCATCTTGGCTCTTGCGACCTCAAACCCTCGAGCTGTATGGGTGGTCCTGACGTCGACAGACGCCCGAGGACCATGGTGAAGCTGAGCCGGAACGCGTCGACAGGTCTCGTCTGAGCCCGTGGCGGTCGCCGGCTGAGTCGTTGTGCACGGGACGGTACCTCAGGCGTCACCTCCGCAGCCTCAGGTCTCACACTCCATCACCTCCGCCGGGACGCCTTCGGTGGCACGCTCGGTGGCGACTTTGTGGCAGCCCCACAGCGAGCGCGGCATCGAGCCTGTTCGGTCTGGTCGGTTCGCGGCACTCACTGGGTGCCAGGGAGTGCCGCCGACACGCGAGCGGTGCTTCCTGGCGGCGCGCGCCGGCTGTGGGGCTGCCACAAACTCGAGACACGCTTTTTGGGACATTTTCGACGCTTTTGGCCCATATACTCGTGCAACAACCCGGGCGGTTTGGCGGCCGCGGGCGGTTTAAAGCCGTAGTTCCGAGTAGCCTCGATCTAGCGAGCACGACAAACGCTGTACATGAGCGGAAAATGATCATATGCGCTGATCTAGCTCTACGGCTCTAGAGATCCCTATCACACACACACCCCCTATGTCTCTCTCGCTGACGCTTTGACCTGCGCACCTCTGTCGCTCCCCGCGCACACTGTACGGCTGAGCTAGATCTAGAGCCGTGTGTCACCTCGTCAACACAGACTCGCATACTATGGAGCTAAAAGTACGTACACTGCACACACAAAACACCCTGAGAATCGTGCGCGCCCCCTCTCGCAGACACGAACAAAGCGGGGCACTAGCTGCCTGCCGGCGCGCCACCCAACTCGGCTCTCCGCAGCACCTCAGCGTACGCCGCCCGCTCGGCCGCCTCGGAGTGTCCCCGCGCCACCACGCCCCGCGCGCAGTGGGCGAGGCGGCCGGCGAGTATACGGTCGTCGAGCAGAGACTGGGCGAGGGCGACGGCGGCGTCGGGGGTGGTGAAGAGGAGCCCCGATTCGCCTGTTCACGGCTGGCGGCGTGAAGAGGCGCCGTTCACACCGTTGGGTCGAGGCGTCCGACGGATCGAGAGGGACGTCCCCAGCCATCTCGGCTATATCTGGGCGACATCTCGGCATATCTCGGCGACATCTCGGCGACATCTCGGCGACATCTCGGCATATCTCGGCTATCTCGGCTATCTCTGGGCGACATCTCGGCGACATCTCGGCGACATCTCGGCGACATCTCGGCGACATCTTGCCGTGGGTGACCAAGGACGCGTTGCCGGCGTTGCGGCGCGCGAGGACCGGCGTGCCCACCGCGAACGCCTCGAGAATCGAGTTGCACATCCCCTCCGCCTGAGATGTGGGGAGATGTGGGGAGATATGGGCAGATATGGGGGGGTTATGGGGAGGTCTGGGGAGGTCTGGGGAGATGTGGGGAGATATGGGGAGATGTGGAGAGATATGGGCAGATATGAGGTAGGTATGGGGAGATGTGGGGCGGTATGGGGAGGTATGGGGAGATGTGGGGGGG